TAAAACATTGCCTCCTCTGCCACTCCTCTGCATGTTGTCTGACATACTCTTTAATTAAACGATTCTGTGTCCCTGAGTAACAATTCTGTGCCCCTGAGTAACGTTTCTGTGGCCCTAAGTAACAGTTTTGTGGCCCTAAGTAACAGTTCTGTGGCCCTCAGTAACAATTTTGTGTGAGTAACAATTCTGTGTCCCTCAGTAACAATTCAGTAACAATTCTGTCCCTCAGTAACAATTCTGTGTCCCTGAGTAACAATTCTGTGTCCCTGAGTAACAATTCTGTGTCCCTGAGTAACAATTTCTGTGTCCCTGAGTAACAATTCTGTGTCCCTGAGTAACAATTCTGTGTCCCTGAGTAACAATTCTGTGTCTGTCCCTGAGTAAGAATTCTGTGTCTGTCCCTGAGTAAGAATTCTGTGTCCCTGAGTAACAATTATGTGTCTGTCCCTGAGTAACAATTCTGTGGCCCTAAGTAACGGTTCTGTGTCCCTGAGTAACAATTCTGTGGCCCTAAGTAACGGTTCTGTGGCCCTCAGTAACAATTCTGTGGCCCTAACTAACGTTTCTTTGGCCCTAAGTAACAATTCTCTGGCACTCAGTAACAATTCTGTCTGTCCCTGAGTAACAATTCTGTGGCCCTAACTAGCGTTTCTTTGGCCCTAAGTAACGATTCTGTGGCCCTCATTAACAATTCTGTGTCCCTGAGTAACGTTTCTCTGTCCCCAAGTAACGTTTCTGTGGCCCTAACTCTGTCCCTAATACAGAGCGGTCTGCCTCTCTTGAATGACTGGAGGCAAATGAAGAATTCTAAAATGGCCGCTATTTATAGCTCGACCATTACACAGTGCTGGCTGCTGATTGGCTAATGCGATCACATGTCATTAAGGAATGCATTATGGGTCAGCGCGCCTTGTCTGCGCGCCTTCCCAGACATCCCCGCTCCGTCGCCGCACATGTCCGCCGCCATTTTAGGAAAAATTTTGATTCGCTTGTCCGAAGTAGGCCAATATTCGACTCGAATTCCACTTCGCCTACTTCGATTCGCTCATCTCTAGTCAGAACGGTACAGATATCCCCCATATGTCAGAACGGTACAGATATCCCCCAAATGTCAGGACGGTACAGATATCCCCCAAATGTCAGGACGGTACAGATATCCCCCAAATGACCCCTTTTTGAGAGTAGACAGTCCGACGTACTTCATAAGAGGCATGGCGAGTTTTTTGAAGTTGTATTTTTTTGTCATAATTTTTCGGAAAATGAAAAAATAAAAATTATTTTCACTATTTTTTTTTTTTACATACTGTCACCAGTGCAGTACAGCGTCATCCTATAACTGGCATGGCGGTGATCAGGGACACTGACTGGTGACAGTGTGAAAAAAAAAATATATATATATATTTTTTTTTATATTTTAAATTTTTTATAAAATTTTTTTTTCTTTTTTTAAGATTTTTTTTTTTTTATATTTCACTATGTCCAAAGTAGTACAATGTTACCATAGTAACATTGTACTACTTTGGGGAAGTGATCAGTATTTTTTTTTTTTTTACACAATTTGCTTATAGCAAAGAATTACTGTGCTATAAGCAAGCATTTACCTGAATGACATCGATTCATTCAGGTTTTTTTTTTGTTGTGCTTAGCTGTGATTTGGCCACAGCTAATCACATGACATGTGCATGTGACCTGCTGTGACCATTCACAGCTAGGCACTAGTATACAATGGGTGTCATGAATGAAGCCATCCATTGTATACAACTGTCATGTGACCTGCTGTGATTGGTCACAGCAGGTCACATGGTACCGGCACGGGGGCCGGTACTCAGATCTGTCATCGGCCGTGTCCGAGGTACATGGCTGGTGACAGATCGCGCCGCTGCACGGCTCTGCAAGCGCGCGAACTGCGCATGTGCGGGAGGACGCCATATGGCAGCCTTCCGGAAAGCTAATACATTTTTGCGGACACGCCATTTGGCCATAGGCCGGGCGTCAAATGGTTAAACGTGTCCAGTAAAAAAAAAAATCAAAAAAAAAATCAAATTTCGTCATAAATTTAGGCCAAAATGTATTCTGCTCCGTGTCTTTGCTAAAAAAAAATCCCAATACGTGTAAATTAATTGGTTTATGTGAAAGTTATAGCGTTTACAAATGGGATTTTTTTTTTCTACTAGTAATGGCGGTAATCAGTGGGACTGCAGCAGACATTCTGACACTGGGAGGGGAACTGACTTGGTGTCACTGACATCCCCAGTGCTACCCACACAGTGATCAGTGCTAAAAAAAAAAAGCACTGACACTGTACTAATGGCACTGGGCAGGAAGGGGTTAATGTGAGGGGCGATCAAAGGGTTAACAGTGTGATGGGCGTGTTTAACTAGGGGGGGGCGGTCTCTGTGTGCTTCACTGTAATCACACTGCTCTGGATTGCTGTGCTGTGTAGTGTACCCGAACTGAAAGGGAGGAAGACTGTTTGTAAACAAAACAGTCCTCCTCCCCGTCTGAGATTCTTGGTAATCACCAGGCTGCAAATGGTGGTGCAGGTGGGTCAAGCGCGGCTCCCTACCCGGAAGAATGCAAAATCACGTATACATATGTGATTTTGCACACCCCTGCCGCCCTGTAGCAGTATTTCTGCTATAGGGCGGTCGAGAAGCGGTTAAGCACTTTGTTTCAATTTCAAAGTAAATACAAAAGTAAACACAAACAGTTACAATAAAGATTTCATTACAATAAAATTACAATAACAATTGTTAAAGTGACACTAAACTCTTTTCTTTAAAACGAAAATATACTTTCAGGTACTGTTTATATTCTAAACCGGGGGGTGGACAACCCGCCGATCGTGATCTCCCCATTGATCGCGGTCAGGTGATGGGTAGATCGCATCTCTTGGCTGCCATCCCCCAAAACCTGGAGAGGAGGGGTGGCATTTAGTGGAACCAATCGGCCATATTTTCCTCCACTGACACCATCCTCTGCCCTACTGATACCGTCCACTGCCCTACTGACGCCGTCCTCTGCCCTACTGACGCCGTCCTCTGCCCTACTGACGCCGTCCTCTGCCCTACTGACGCCGTCCTCTGCCCTACTGACGCCGTCCTCTGCCCTACTGACAGTCCTCTGCCCTACTGACGCCGTCCTCTGCCCTACTGACGCCGTCCTCTGCCCTACTGACCCCGTCCACTGCCCTGACACCATCCACTGCTCTACTGACTGACACAGTCCACTTTCAAGGCTGGCTAAGTTTACATTTTTACAGTGACATTTATTTTATTACATTTATCTAAGTTTTCCTAATTATTTAGTTAGGCCTTGCTAGTTAATCTCTTTTAAAAAAAAAAAAAAAGAAAGAAAGAGGGCTTCACGTCCCAGTGACCTTTGATCTCTTTCATGTCATTCAGGTAGATCTCCGCCTCTGAAGGGTCACCTCCCCCTGCTATAGAGTGTTGTTTGGAGCTTATGGATGTCTACACAAGGGGGATGTTTACAGGTCATACAGGTACAGGAATAAAATACATCGAAATGGACATTTTTTGTTGAAATAAATGGTCTGGTGACAGAGTCCCTTTATGAATATTGTCAAACCAACCGACAAATTGAGCGATCTATAATAACTTTCATCATTATGAGCCAACAATAAGAAACGGCTCAGCAAACATTTGTTTCCAGATAGGAGAAAGAAATCTCACATTTTATTGCTCGTTACATGACTGTGTACACACTATAAACTGGAAGGACTTGAGGAGAGCGATACATTGGAACAAGTCGACACCTTGTTATTTCTTTATGAGCTTCAGGATTTTTCTTTCATGTAATAAGTATGTAACGTGTCCTCACCTAGGCCTATATATTCACTTCCGCCAGTCAGCCATAGCTTTATACTTTATGACCACCCACCTAATATGGAGTAGGTCTCCCTTTTGCCACCAAAACAGCCCTGACCCCTTGAGGCAAGGTCTCCTCTGGACGTCTGAAGGTATCTGGCACCAAGCCATCAGTAGCAGATCCTTAAGGTCCTGTAAGTTGTGAGTTGGGGCCTCCATGGATCAGACGTGTTTTTTACAGGACATCCCACAGATGCTCAATTGGATTGAGAAGAATGTGGAGACCACGTTAACACCTCAAACTCGTTGTTGTGTTCCTCAAACCGTTCTTGAACCATTTTTGCAGTGTGGTAGGACACATGATCCTGCAGAAAGAGGCCACTGCCATCAGGGAATACATACTGTGTCCAGGGTTGGACTGACCATTTGGAAACTCGGGCACTGCCCGAGGGCCCAGGGTCAGTAGGGGGCCCCATGAGATGCCCCTGGTACCTTTCATAGGCTTTTTTGAGTTTGGGCAACTACACAGGAGCCCCATGATCCCCTATTGCCCGGGGGCCCCATGAGTTGTCAGTCCGCCCCTGACTGTGTCCATGAAGGGGTGGACTTGGTCAGCAACAATGTAAAGGTATAGTAGGTGGCACATGTCAAGTAACCTCCACATGAATGGCAGGACCCAAGTTCTCCAGCAGAGCATTGCCCAAAGCATCACAGTGCCTCTGCCGGCTTGTCGTCTTCACATACTGCAACCTGGTACCATCTCTTCTCCAGGTAAGTGATGCACACACACCCGGCCATCCACATGATGTAAGAGGAAACATGATCCATCAGATCAGCCACCTTCTTCCATTGGACTTTTTGCTATTAAACATGATATTTTTCAGGAAGCTATATACAGCACCCTGCTGGCCCCTCCCGCCAGCCATGATCTGCCTGTATTGCAGAAAGAAGCACAGAGACCCAGTGATGGGTCTAAAATAAAGCATGCAATATAACTTATTTGTTTTTATTTATCAGCAAGCTGATGGCAGTGGAAAGGAGGAACGAGGGAAGGTACATTTTACACAGATTAAAATTCAACGTCAAAAAGCATAAATATATACCTTTTTTTTCTTGAGGATTTAGTTTTATTTTAAAGTGCAGCTAAAGGCAAGACCTTTTTTGTCATTTCAGATAGAGTAAGAGAGGGTTGTAACTCTGTAAGTTTTTTTGCCATCTGTGTCCCCTAGGGGCGATATTCCTTCACTTCCTGTCCCATAGCCAAAACAGGAAGTGAGAGGAAATCCCACCAAAGTGAGCGAATCTCTGGGGTGTCACCAGAACTAGTATCCCCAATGGAAGATTTCCCATTTATTACTGTCAGATGTGAACCAAAAATGTGGCACTTTCTGTTTTTTCACTCTTGGTGGACAATAAATAGGACAAATAGAGAGGGCGAATCTCCCTAACGGGGATACAGACAGCAATAAAAATCTGACAAGAGCCCTATATTCTGTATATGATTTTATGTTTATTGATTGCAAGACGTTTAATAAAGAAAAATTGGGAAGAATGTCCCTTACATTGGTGATCAGTGGGAAGAATGTCCCTTACATTGGTGATCAGTGAGAAGAATGCCCCTTACATTGGTGATCAGTGGAAGAATGTCCCTTACATTGGTGGTCAGTGGGAAGAATGCCCCTTACATTGGTGGTCAGTGGGAAGAATGTCCCTTACATTGGTGATCAGTGGGAAGAATGCCCCTTACATTGGTGGTCAGTGGGAAGAATGTCCCTTACATTGGTGATCAGTGGGAAGAATGTCCCTTACATTGGCGATCAGTGGGAAGAATGTCCCTTACGTTGGTGATCAGTGGGAAGAATGCCCCTTACGTTGGTGATCAGTGGGAAGAATGCCCCTTACATTGGTGGTCAGTGGGAAGAATGTCCCTTACATTGGTGGTCAGTGGGAAGAATGTCCCTTACATTGGTGATCAGTGGGAAGAATGCCCCTTACATTGGTGATCAATGGGAAGAGAATGCCCCTTACATTGGTGGTCAGTGGGAAGAATGTCCCTTACATCGGGGGTCAGTGGGAAGAATGTCCATTGGTGATCAGTGGGAAGAATGTCCCTTACGTTGGTGGTCAGTGGGAAGAATGCCCTTACGTTGGTGATCAGTGGGAAGAATGCTCCTTACGTTGGTGATCAGTGGGAAGAATGCCCCCGTTGGTGATCAGTGGGAAGAATTACGTTGGTGATCAGTGGGAAGAATGCCCCTTACGTTGGTGATCAGTGGGAAGAATGCCCCTTATCAGTGGGAAGAATGCCCCTTACGTTTGTGATCAGTGGGAAGAAGAATGCCCCTTGGTGGTCAGTGGGAAGAATGCCCCTTACGTTGGTGATCAGTGGGAAGAATGCCCCTTACGTTGGTGATCAGTGGGAAGAATGTCCCTTACATTGGTGATCAGTGGGAAGAATGTCCCTTACATTGGTGATCAGTGGGAAGAATGCCCCTTACATTGGTGATCAGTGGGAAGAATGTCCCTTACATTGGTGATCAGTGGGAAGAATGCTACTTTATAGTTATCTAAAACATCATGGTTTCTAATCTGAGAGGCAGAAAATGCTTATTGCTCATGGAATCCATAGTAGCCTCAGAAAAAACCCTACTAGAGAAAGGATGCCCTACTCTATAAAAAAACAAACACAAGTTTTGGCTACAGATACATTTCAATTGCAAAAAAAACGATTAAAGGTTGATGACCACTACTTACCCACCATACTCTGCTTGTAAGTCACTTGTCCACCCAACTTCGCTGTCCCTGCAATGGCTGACCTCTTCCATTTTCCTCCAGTGCTGCTTCCACTTGCGTTGAGCAATCCCTAGTGCCTATTAATAGTGTATGTAATGGGAAGGAGAGTCCAAATCTTGTCCTTTGTATGGTGACTGCACCTGGTGCCTCCTAATCACAGCTGGATCTCAGAGAAGCTATCTTGTGACTGTACCCTGATGTTCTATCCTGCTAATGATTTAGCCTGTCCTCTGGGTCCCGATTCCCATTTTTCTGTCTGTACAACTGCTACCTCTGTGTGCCGTCAGCCCTGACCTTGGAATGTGTATGTGTGTTGGCCAAGTCCCAAGGAAGCAGGGCAAACTTTACCATGCCTACTACAAATCTCAGGACTCTAAATCATAGACTCCATTGATAGAATACATCTGTACCCATAAGGCCCAGTTCCTGGAAACTGGTAAATGTCCATGTGAAGCTAAAGGGCCACACATAAAGAAAAGAGGGAAATGATTACACATTCATTATATACTCACTGGCCACTTTATTAGGTACACCTGTTCAACTGCATGGTAGCACAAATTGCTAATTAGCCAATCACATGGCAGCAACTCAATGGATTTAGGCATACAGACATGGTGAAGATGACTTGAAGTTCAAACCGAGCATTAGAATGTGGAAGAAAGGGGATTTAAGTGACTTTGAACGTGACATGGTTGTTAGTGCCAGACGGGCTGGTCTGAGTATTTCAAAAACTTCTGATCTACTGTAAATTCTAGGAACTGTTAAAAGGCAGCTATAGTGTGTTCAGAGTGGAGGTCAACATTGGACCTGTCAGAAACCAAACAGACAGCTCCATGAGAGGTGGACATCCAAAACATTGACAGAAGAATGACTCAGCTCCAGACAGAATTATCTAAGTTGAAGGGCAGAAATACCCTGTATGGCAAAGTGGACACGCCCCTTCATGGAGAAAGCAAACACCATTGGAGATGACCAAAACAGGCAAGGTCACCAACTCCATGCTGGAGTTGTTAAGAGTCAGCCATTGCTCTAGAAACTGCCCTAACCGTACGCATCAGAAGGTTGTAAACAAGAAAGCCCTGCCATCAGGAGTCAAAAAGCGGGGCAGTACAATAAAACAACTTCCCCCTCAAGTATTCAAATGTGGTGTTCAGCTGTCCTGTTGTGCATGGACATTTCAACAACCAAGATATCTAGTACTTGGGTCACAATTTACTACCCTGCCAGAACCTCAATTCCATATATATTTTTCGAAGAAGAAAGCAAACCATGGATCTCAATGAAAGTTACCAATGAGCTTCCCTAGAAGTAGTCGGGTTTACTTGAATGAAAGTAGAGTTGTGGGGACAGGATCTGCATTGGAAGGGGTGTAGTTGGGAGGGCTGCAGGTGATACTGGCCATGACTAACTCAGGGACTAAGACCTGTGATGCTGAAGGGGTGCCCTACCTACTTGGGACTACCTAAGAAAATTAGTCAACTGCTTCATGTCCAAGTTAGATGTGAGCTGGGCAGATATAGTGGAAAAAGCTGGTGGTGTTAGGGTTGCCTTCAGGACAGATATTGTGATACCATCCAGTCAAGAGCTTGTACTCCTCATGAATCTCCCTCACTTCATCAACAGCAAAACTTCACTGTCCTCATATAACCCTTGGCTCCAGAGGTGGCTTAGTTTCCAACCAGGACTCTCATGGTGGCCTAGCAAGGTACAATGCTAGTCAGAATCCATAACAACAAGACTATTCCAGGAACACCAGTTCTGGAACTGGCCCTAATTATGGATGTGATTGTCTTATTGGACGCAATTGGCTGTTGCTATGTAGCAAAGGTAAATGTTGCTAAATAGTCACCAGAACTGGGCCGAGAGTGGACAGGAGAAAAGAACTACCACTCCTACAAAGACTACAGAGGAACTGTCACCCAGTAAGGCAGTAACACGCCAAGTGGAAAAGTGGTCAGATGTGTTTTGACAGCGGACGATGACCGGGGCTTAAGTTTTGGAACTGAACAAGGGACACCCACAGGAGAGAGTCCTCCCATCTGAGAGAGATATCGAAACATACCTCCTCACCTTTACCAAGAAGTCAAGAAGTAACGTTTTTACAGACACGTGATGTCATCAGCAAATTACAGACCTTAGCAAATATATTGGCACTCTGGATGACATTAATAAATAGCACCGCTCTTCTGCTAGAGATACTGATTTGAAAATCCTGAGACATGATCTCAGAAACTTCACTGAATTTCTATGCCAAAGCCAGATTATGTCTAGCTAGTCTAGGTAAATATAAAATAAGTAAGAGTAGAATTGCAAACTTACACAACAAAACCAAAATAACGAACTCCATCCACCCAAGATAATCAAGCCTTCCTTGACAAACACAAATTGGCTATAATATCTCCTGGCTAACTTACCTTCCTTTTCCTCACCCTTCTCAATACAAGAGATCCCCACAGCTCTCCAGGATCTCTCTTTACACAGATCCCCCAGACCTGATGCTTTTGGGCATTGCATACTTTAAAGATTATAAGGAGCTATAGTCAACCTATTTACAAGCTGTTTATAACACAACTGCCCACTCTGGTACCTTCCAAATGAAGCTTTAATAATTAATATTTCTAAACCATGCAAACCGCCGACACTCCCTGCTAATTACAGCCTAATGCATTGCTCAATACAGATATTAAAATGTATGCCAAGCCCAATATTGCCAATCTAGATGGCATTCTCCTCTAGCTGATCAACCTGGACCAAGCAGAGTTTGGTAAAGACCACCAAGCAATTTTTTTTTAAACTTATTGCATTGGGAGAAGGTTGGTCAGATACCTTCTGTGCTTCTTTCCCTGGATACGGAGAAAGCATTTAACCATTCGGTTTACTTCTGAGAAGTCCTCCTTGAATTTGGCCTCAAAGGCCCAATTGGCTCAGCTATTCAAGCCTTATATACCTTTCCTTGTTATCATGTACCTGGTGTTGGAGGCCAATGGAGAGAGGGCTTCCCTTGTGGCTAAGTTCTAGACTCCCCTGAAGATGGGACAGAAGGAGTCAGGCACAAAGTAGCACGGGTCGCCTGTAGGAGTGCTTATCAGAGATACACCAGGGAGCACAGCTGATTCACTGGAATGGTGTCTGCAGACAGGTGTCGCCCGTGAGAGGTAAGCAGGTCTTCAGAGTAGCAGAGGACCACAGAGTAGTCAGTTCAGAGCCAGGGTCAGGTGCCTGGTGGAGATTGGAGCAGACGTAGTCAATAGGATAGTTGGGGTCATACACAGGAGAGCAAGTGAGAATATTTATTAGCCAAGCCGGGGTCATACACAGGAGAGTGGATGCAAATATCTGTTAGCCAAGCCAAGATCAGATCAGGAGACAGACAGAGAAGACAGGTCCAGGAACAAGCCAAGTCAGTAACAGGAGATCACAGTAGCAAGGGAACACAGACAAAGGTATTGGGGAGCCAGAGATCAACCAGC